TAAACTTTTTTTTTTAATAACTGTACCAAGGTTTGAACTCAGGACCGTATGCTTGTTTGGCTTGCTTGCTTGGCTGTTGCTTTATCACTTGGGCCACATCTCTGGCTCAGCTTTTTGCTGTTTAATTGGTGATGGAGTGTCACACACATTTCTGTCTGGGCTGGGCTGGCTTTGAACTATGATCCTGTGGGTCTCAGCTCTGAGTAGCTGGGATCATAGACAACTAGCACCTGGTTAATTTTGTGTGCGTGCGCCTGCGTGTGTCTGTGTGTGCCCGTGTGTGCATGCGCGCGCGCGCGTGTGTGTGTGTGTGTGTGTGTGTGTGTGTATGTGTGTGCACTCACCAATACTGGGGCTTGAACTCAGGGCCTTGTACTCTTCTTTGGCTATTTTGTTCAAGGCTGACACTGTATTACTTGAGCCATGCCTCCATTTCTGGCGCGCTTTTTTTTGTGGTTAATTGGATACAAGAGTCTCTTGGACTTTCCTGCCTGGGCTGGCTTCAAACCCCGATCCTCAGATCTCAGCCTCCTGAGTAGCTACTGTTTTATGGGAACTTGATCTGCGAGGTACAGAGAAGCATACTTTGAGAGGTCGAATTGGAAGTCTTCATTAGAAAGCCAGCGACTGCAAGCAGACGAGTGTCTCCCCTAGACTTGCAGCCCTGAATGTTGTTAGCGTGAGGCTAAGAAAGCCAAAATCAACCTCAAGGCAGACGTGGCATGGCATGGGGATTTGTGAAGCATGTTTACAGAAGTAACACCAGCCAGTTATGAGTTAACTAGCGAGGGTGGTTAACATTTGTTAGAGGCAACTTGGGGGAACAATCAAGGGTAGAGATTTACCGGAATACAACCATCTTAATGATCAGGGGTGAGGGACAGGGGTTTCCTGGTGTCTAACAATCCATGCCAGAGCTGCAGCTCTGGGAATGACCTTCGCCCCATCTATAATTCTCAGAATTGAGTGAAATGTCCCTGTTACCTGTTAAGGCATGAAGATGGCGGTGGGGACAAGTTGGCATTGCTTAGGCCCAGTATCTATTATTTCGCTAGGATTACAGGTACCAGCCACCAGTACCTAGCTAATTTTTTTTTTTTTAAATGATGCTGGAGATCAAACCCAGAACCTCTCACACATATGAAGCACTGATTTTTACCATTGCGTTCCACGCAGTCTTTGCCAAGAGAACTTCGAGTGTTATCCCAGATAGGTTACCTTCTTCCCTCCCTCTGTGTTCCCCTCTTTGTAAAAGTCACATTTGTTGTAGAGAGACTGGAAAGCACAGGAAATGGGGGGGCTGAGAGCAGTCTTGACCGTGGTGTGTGTGTGTGTCCGCTTTTCCGCTGTGTGCACACACCACTGTGTGTGTGTGTGTGTGCGTGCGCGCGCACGGTGGCTTTTATAGAGCCGTGGTTTTACTACACATGCCGTTTTCCAGTGCACTAATTTTCCCTCTTAATTACATGGGGGACCATTTTCCCACGGGAATCTGTATCCTCAGCACCGCTGTACTTTTCTTTCGGTTACAGCTGAGTCTTCTATGCCTGTCTCGAGGCTGATCACCAAGCTTGGGGCCCCTGGAGCTAGGAGGCTGGCTGGTGCACACACATGGAGCAGAAGCCCAGGGGGGCCTGTGGGTGTGGGGGTGCCAGGTGGGGCCTTCCACGGACTTCCCCAAGGGGCTTTTCCCCCTCCACTTCCTCAGAAAGTGGATCTGTGGCAGTGAGTAGGCTGGCCTGGAGGAGGCCTGGGGGGAAGAATGGGGAAGGTACGTGCTGGCCAGTTTGTGCTAAGGACATTTCCTACCTTCTTCCTCAGCTTTTCCCAACACTCCAAGAGATAGCTATCATTGCCCATTTCATGGAAACAGACCCAGAGGAATGCCATATGCATTATCTCATTCAATCCTCAAAAGAGAACTAGCAGCCATTATTATTATTTTTATTATTACCAATTCTGGGACTTGAAAAAAAGAACTAGCAGCCATTATTATTATTATTATTACCAATTCTGGGGCTTGAACTCAAGGCCTGAGTGTTGTTCCTTAGCTTTTTGACTCAAGGCTGATGCTCTACCATGTGAGCCATACCTCCACTTCTGGCTTTATTTTGCCAGTCCTGGGGCTTGAACTCAGGATCTGGGTACTGTCCCTCAGCTTCTTTTTCTCAAGGCTAGCACTCTACCACTTGAGCCACAGCACCAGTTCTAGCTTTTTCTGTTTATATGGACTCAAACCCAGGGCTTCATGCATGCTAGGCAAGCACTCTATCACTGAGCCACATTCAATAAAGAGTCTCACAGACTTGCCTGCCTGGACTAGCTTTGAACCTCCATCCTCAGATCTCAACCTCGTGAGTAGCTAGGATTCCAGGTGTGAGCCAGTGATGCTTTGCTAAAAGCAATGATTCACCACTAAATGGTTCTACATTTTGTGATTGGTCCTGGTGCACCATAGTCTTAGCTGAGCCAAGGTTTTATCCAGATGTGTTGGCTGCAGTGTGTGTGTGTGTGTGTGTGTGTGTGTGTGTGTGTGTGTGTTGTGTGTGTTCATGTCTATCTGTACCCACTTCTACTTGTATGCCCTGGTTCTCAGTGCATGGTGAAGCTGGTGTGTGCCCCTACCCAAACCAGCGGAAGCCCCTCCCTAAACAGTACAGGCTCCTCCCCCAACCAGCACAAGCCCCTCCCCCAGCCAGTGTAGGCCCCTCCCCAACCAGCGCAAGCTCCTCCCTGAACCAGCACAGATCTCACCCTAACCAGCACAGGCCCCTCCCCCAGCCAGCACAGGCCCAGAGTCAGGCCTCTGGTCTGTCTTTTAGGTGTAGCTGGTGGGCAGCTGGTATTGACACCTCAGATCATTTCTGTACCAACTGAACAGTGTCCAGGACTGACAAAAGTCCTCAGCAGTGTCTCCCCAGCCGGCATCTGCCTGGCGTTTTGTGGGGTGGGGTGGTGCGGTGGGGTGAAGGTTTGGAGGCAGTGGCGTTGCTCTGAGTAGGGCCGTTCTGTTCCATGCAGACTTGGGTTAGGCCCTTCCAGGCATTTCTGTCTTTGAAGGTTGAGAGTTTTCTTCTTGAACATAGTTCTCATCTTGTTTCAGAAGAGACCTTGGGTTGCCCAGATGTGTGGTTCCCGCTGGCCGAGAATCCTCAAACTGTCCTGGACTTGGGCTGGCAGGCTTCTCCCTGCTCCCACCCCGCAGCCTCTGGCACTTACTGTCTGCAGAGGCTCACTGATAGCCTGGGGTCTTTGCTGGCAGATGGGACGGAGTGGGTTCTCGTGCTCTGAAGTGAGAGCAAGGCTTAAGCCAGGTAGCCAATGTCCCCAGAGGCACATAGCTCAGGCCCGACGACCAGAAAGAACAAGTGGCACTCTCAGGCTTGTCACTCCGTGGGCCAGTGACTCCCTTCTGGTGTACTGAGCTGTGACAGGCTGATAGCATGGCTGGCGGAGGACCCTGGAGGGGCCCTGTCTCCCCGTGTCCCCGCCAGTCTCTGCCAGTGCCTTTCTAGTTGAGCTGCTCTGCGTTGGTGCTGTGGGCTTCCTCTAAGGCATGGCCTTAGCCCCATCTGGCAAACCCCGCGGGGTAACCGGAGCACCTGCCTCGTTCCCCTGTGCCAGCTGTGAGGCCTCGGCTGCAGGAAGCTGAGATAAGGCTGTGGTAATCGCCTCTCACTGCTGCTTGTGGCTTCTATTATCTGGGGTTTTGAGGAGATCCTGGGAGTGTTTGCTGAGGGAGGAGGGGACCGGGTGGCTTCCAGGCATCGAAGTTGGGAGGGGCTGCAGGGAGGGGGCAGGAGCCCCAGCCTCAGGTCTCCCCACGGTCCCCTGCAGGCTCGCCTTGAGCTGGCTCCTTCATGCACACCCTGCTCCTCCCATGAACTCCCATCCCTTGCCTGGGAATCCTCTCTGCTGTCTCCTGCTCAAGTCTGGGGATGAGACAATTGGAGCTGGCCTTGAGAAAGCCCGGCAGCATGCATTCCCACCTCTCCCCTCTCCCGTCCCTGTCTCCTCTTCGTTGCTCTGGCTCAGGTGTCAGGATGGTCTACTCTATCACTTGGCAATGGTGACCGCTGACCTGGACGATCTAAAGCCCCTCTCTGCCTCCTAGGTTGGCATGAGTGGTCTTTGATCTCAAGCTTAGACTTAAAAAAAAAGTGTCACTGGCAGGTTTGTGGATGTGGATCAGAGCGGGCCCGGGGATGGCTTAGGGTGTCCCCAATCTGGGTCTGTCTGGAGTTCTCACCACTAAGCTGGGGCTGTCAGTCCCACCCACTTGGGGCTGTAGGGCCACTGAAGTGGGGATCCCTTCCCACGTGGCTCAGCAGGTCACCCAGGAGCCTCTGGATGTTTCTGCCCAGGCACTTGGTCCAGGTAGCCGTGGCCAAGTTTCTTTGCTCTTTTCCATGTGTTTATCTGGTCTCGGGAAGTGGTGCTGGCTGGCGGGTCCTCCAGTCTGTGTGGATTCAGGTCTCCCTCCTGTGGATGAACTGTGTCCTGCAGGAGGCAGGGGTGCCCCAGCCTGGCTCTTTTGTGGATCTGCCCTGGGGAGGGAGGAGGAGGGAGGGGGCGGGAAACGTGGTTCCTGGCATCCAGCAAGGACTGGCTGTGATCTCAGCACCTCTGATCCTCACACTCTGGCCCTACAGAGCTTGCTCAAGAGGAGGCACCAGCCAGGCACTAGTGGCTCACGCCTATAATCCCAGCTACTCAGCCTGGGCTGGAAAGTCCATGTGATTCTTCTCTCCAATTAACCTGTAAAAAGCTGGAAGAGGAGCTTGGCTCAAATGGTAGCGTGCCAGCCTTGAGTGAAAAAAAGCTGAGGGGTAGTGCCCATGTTCTGAGTGCAAGCCCCAGTACTGGCGTGTGCGTGTGCGCGCGCGCGCACACACACACACACACACACAGAGGAAGAACTGGGGGGGTCCGTGCTAGGCACGGACTTTGCTCCCGGTGGCAGAGGCTGTGGCTCAGTGGTGTCCTCTTCTCCCCTGCAGGGGGCCGGCTGTCCTGAGCAATGGTGATGCTGTGGATGCAGCTTTCTCTGGGGTCCGCCACACCAGTTGGAAGCGGAAGAGCTCTCGCCGCAGTAAGTTGCCCCCTCCCTGCCCACCGCGTACCCTGGGCAGTGCCAGGACCTGCTCACAGCCACCTCTAAGCTGAGACCTGGTGTGGGATCTTCAGAGCCCAGGGGACAGCCTCAGGGCAGGGACAGCCATGGCCTGGTGGCTGCTCAATGGTGTACTGCCCAGTGCCCACCAGAGCAGTGATCTGGAAGTGGATGAGCCATCACGGGCTCGTCAAATCCAGGGATCTGGAAATAGACTCAGCAGGGGCACCCTAGGGACAGGGCTGAGGTCTTTGCAGGCCGGAGGAAAGTACCCACTGGGGCAGTGAGGTGCTTTGACTTATTGCCAGAAACGCCCAGCTGTGGAGGCACTGGCTTCTAAAATCCCAGCTCTGCCCAGTGTAGAGGAGTTGGCCCTGGGCCCAGCCAGGCCTCAGGCTTGCTGGTGTACCAAGGCCAGTGGGTGTGCACAGTCACTGGCAGGCCACCTTGGAGAGGCTGGAGGCCTACAGACCTGGGGGGGGCAGCTTGGTGGCTCTGGGCTAGGCCCCTTGTGCTGGCCGAGGGGTCAGGAAGGGGACCTGAGGGCCAGATGGGGGACTGGCAGCCGCAGTTGGTCCCAGCCCCTGTGGTTCTCTCTCTCCCCTCCTCCCCCTTTCCCTACTAGTCGATCGGTTCACTTTCCCGGCCCTGGAAGAGGATGTGATTTACGACGACGTTCCTTGCGAGAGCCCAGATGCTCATCAGCCCGGTATGGCTCTCCAGGCTTCCTGCCCCTGGGGTGGTGATGGGGGATCTCCTTCTGCACTGGCCCCCATGCTCCCCTCCCTGCCTCTCACGCCCTCTGGGTGGAGCTTGGACCGGGACTCTGGCATGGGCTAAGCAGGGTGAGGTCCTGGTTGGGATGGTGCCTCGTCCATGGATCCCCAGGGAGGGGACAGTCACCCTCAACATGCAAGAGGAGGTGCGATCCAGGCTTCCCGGCGCTGTTGAGGAAGAGGACACAGCTGGGGAGAGCCTGTGCTCTGTGGGGAGAGCCTGTGCCCTGCTCCGGGCTAAGCGCAGAGGCAGGACAGGGAGGCTGGAGATGTCACAGAGAGGACTCTGGGTGGGAATGGGGTGAGCACTGCTGACCCCAGAGAGGAAAAATGGAGGGGGGTTAACAGCTGTCAGGGGGGTTAACAGCCGTCAGAGAGCTTGGCTGGCACAGGTTAGACCAGGTGTTCCTTGTCACTTACATATGCGTGTGTGTGTGTGTGTGTGTGTGTGTGTGTGTGTGTGTGTGTGTGTGTAGACATAGCGATGTCTTTATTAATTGTTCTGCCATGCTAAGGATGGAACCCAGGGCCCTGGGAAGTCAAGCACTTGAACCACGCCCCCCTCTCCCCCAATGTCACTAGCCCTCCTTTTTTTTTTTGTTCCATCATGGGACTTGAACTCAGGGCCTGGGCTCTGTCCCTGAACATTTTTTGTTCAAGGCAAGTGTTCTACCACTTTGAGCCATAGCCCCATTTCTGGTATTCTGGTAGTTAATTGGAGAAAAGAGTCTCACAGACTTTCCTGTCCAGGCTGGCTTTGAACTGTGCTCCTCAGATCTTAGCCTCTGACATTGTTAGGATTACAGGTATGAGCCACCAGTGCCCAGATCTTTATTCTTCTTAGAGACAGGGTCTTAATATGTAACCCAGGCTTGAACTCTTTGTTTTTTTCTTTTCCCTGCTAATACTAGGGCTTGTAACCCAGGCTTGAACTCTTTGTTTTTTCTTTTCCCTGCTAATACTAGGGCTTGAACAGAGGGTCCTGGGCTCTTGAGCTCTTTTTTTTTTTTGTGTTTTGTTTTTTTTTTTCTCACAGCTGGCTCTCTACCACTTGAACCACACTTCTGTTTTGTTTTGGTAGTTAATTGGAGAGAAGAGTCTCATAGGCTTTTCTGCTGGGGCTAGCTTCAAGTCATGATCCTCAGATCTTACCCTCTTGGGTAGCTAGGATTACGGACGTGAGCCACCATCTCCTGTCTTGTCCTTGAACTCTTGCTTCTCCTGGACCTTGGTGGCTGAGTTCCAAGATTACAAGCATGTGCTGCTGGTCACACGCTGAGTCATGTACTCTGCTTCAGAACTTCACATTGGGGTATCATGACCTCATTATCCAGACCAGGAAATGAGGGAGCCCTGGCCTGTGTCTTCTCTGGGCCTCATCTTCCTGCTTGCCTCAGAGGAGGGGTGACCCTGTGGCAGCTCAGCCGGGCACTGAGTGGGGAAGAGGTGTCCAGCTGCCGGTGGAGGAGACCACTGTGTGTGGGTTTCCGCCTCATGGCCACCCCCAAGATCTGGGCTCGCTTTTCCCACCTGGCTGGTGGGTTCCCCTACTCTAATAATAGGACAGTGAGTCGAATGTGCTTTCCTTTGTTTTTTAACTGTTTTTTGGGGGGGGATTGAACCCAGGGCCTCACACTTGCCAGACAAACAAGCGCTCTACCACTCAGACCCCGCCCCCAGCTTACCCCAGCTTTCAAAAAAGGTCACAGCCTGTGTGTCAGCCCTGCTTGGTCTCAGCAGACATTAGTCATTATTATCTTTGCCTCATTAAAAATAACCTCTCCCATCCTGGGACTCTCCTAGCTTTCCTGCAGGGTGGGGCTGGGGGGCCTCCTGGGCCCTGTGTGGGTTTTGTACCAACCTGCCAGGGGGCCCGCATGAGCGGCCACTCCTGCTGGACCCTGTCGTGGGCCAGGCTCTTTTGTGGGCAGCCTTTGTGTCCATGCCTCTCCCCCTGCCCTAGCCCCCATGGCCCTGGATTCTTCTCAGCCCATCCCAGAGGGATTCTCACTCACAGAGCCACTCCTCTGTGCTCCCCAGCGGTGCTCCCCGAGCAGGTTGTACCTCGTTTCCTCCATGTGGACACAAGCTTTCTAGTCTGTGGCCCTCCTCCAGGTTATAGGAGGGTGGATGTTGGGGTGCGGAGCGGCCTGCCCCAGCTTTCTCGTGCTGGAACCTGGGGTGGGAACTCTGCCCTCTGGACCACGTCTCCCACCTGACTTCACAAGCACCTCAAGAATGCTCTGGTGGCCTCTTCCCCTCCTGAGGGGACTCTCAGCTTTTTGTCCTCACGTTTTCTGCCCCAGGTGTGTCCAGTGGGGCTTTGGAAGAATAAGGACCTCTGCTGGACTCTGGGCCAGGTTTACCCACTGACGGGGCCCCCCACTGGGCCACAGGGGCGCTCAGGTTGGGGACAAGGGACCCTGTGCAGGGGCTTGGCCCTGTGGATAGCCAGCTTTTTCTTGGTTATTCCAGGGATGCCCTACCAATCACCATCAGTCCCTGACGATGCTGAGGCCCCCAGCCCAGACTTGACCCTAGGGGGCCTAAGGGAGCCAGCGCTGGATCCTGGGGGCGGGGGTCAAGGAAAGGATTGGACACAGTTTTTGGGCTTTCTTCCACGTTCTTCCACTTCCTCCATCTCCCTGGAGGGCATAGTGCCATAGCCTATGGGTTTCAGAGCCAGGGCCCCACTTATTGGCCACGTCCTTGCTCCCTTCCTCCACCTCTTCCTCCCCCTCTGGTGTCAGAGCGTGGGCCTGAGGCCTGGAGTCTGGCAGGCTAGGCCAGGGCCTCTGGCTCACCGGACGGTCCCCCGCCGACAGGGGCGGAGAGGAGCCTGCTGTACGAAGATGTGCACCGCGATGGGGCGCCTCGGGAGGCCGAGGACCTAGGCTGGAGCTCCAGCGAGTTTGAGAGCTACAGCGAGGACTCGGGGGAGGAGGCCAAGCCGGAGGCAGAGCCCGCCAAGCACCGGGGCTCCTTCCAGCCCAAGGTAAGGGAGCCGAGAGCGTCTGACATGGCCTGGGCACCTTTGGAGCGAGGTGGTGGGGGAGAGGTTGGCGGCCAGCAAGTGGGCCTAGGAATGGTTTCCAGCAGTGTGTAGTGAGAGGAGAACAGTGGTTGTGGTGAGCTTCACACACCGTTAGTACCTGGCTCCCCACATTGCTGTGCCGACCCCATTAGTGGCTTATGATGTTCATGGGTTGGGGTTGAACTCTAGAATGCTCTTAACACCCCAGGGAGCCCAGCCATAAGGTTGGAGCTGGCCTTCACTGAGATCCGTGAGCTGGGTCCACCTGCCCTCGGTGAGTATGTTCTCAGACCAGTCCTCAGGCCATGCAGGACCACCTTGTCCTGGGCAGGGGACGGGCCACATCAGAGCTGCCTGCCGCCCAGGGCTTTTCAAAGTGGCACCTGTGCTTTTGGCATTCGTGGTGATTCTGCCTGGAGTGGAGCTACTCCTGTGTGTGCCTTCCCCCTGCCCCCTCCCCCCCCAGGAACCACATGAGCCTGGATTGCCCTCCAGTTCCTCCCCCTCCCCCTCCCCCTCCCCCTCCCCCTCCCGCTCCTCCTCCTCCTCCTCCTCCTCCTCCTCCTCCTCCTCCTCCTCCTCCTCTTGGCTCCTCCCCTATTGGTCCCTGGAACCCCATGCTGAGAGGCCCTGCTTGACCAAAGGTGGCTGGGTCCCTTTCAAACTCCTTTTTAGAAGGACACAGACAAGGCAAGGGAGGTCTGCCTCTGAGCCAGCCCCACGGAGGCCAGGCAGGGGCCAAGACGGGGCCCAGGCTGCGGCGTACCTCTGGCCATCCCTGAGTCTAGGGGGTCCCTTTGAGTGCCGGCCAGCCAGTCTGGCAGCTGTTTGCTCCCTGGGACTGGCTCCCACATCCCAAGCAAGCCTAGGACTGAGCAGTCTATCTGAGCCCCAGTTTTTATCCCACCAAGATTCAGGACCATGACGGAGCTGTAGAGAAGGGCTTAATGCTTGCCCATGAAGTGTAGCACGTAGCGCCCCGTGTGCTGAAGTACTTAGGACTCTACTGTGTGCCAGGCCGTGTCTCAGGTAGGGGTGGGGAGATAGGGGACCCGAAGCCCTGGCCTGGACTTAGCTGACCTCTGTGGTGTGGGGAACCTTTTTTTTTCTGCCAGGGGCTATTTAGATATTTATTTATAACATCATTCTCAAGGCTGGACTTATTGCATTTCACTCTGAAAGAAGCTCCTCCTAGATTGGTTGAGTTTCGAGTCCTGCCTGCAGTTCGTTGCCTTGGCAGGGGTCAGACCAAATGATTTTTTGAGGGCCTTATATGGCCCGAGTGCCAGACGGTCCACACCCTCCTCTGGGAGGTGGAGATACCGTCTGTAGAAAATAGATTTCTGTGAGCACGGCCAGCTTGACCACATGGCGGCCAGGGGCTGGCGCTCCTTCACGCAGCCAGGTGAGTCAGGGCTGGACCCCGCAGTCAGAGGGATTGTCCAGGTGTGGTGGGCTGGAGGACACGCCGGGCACAAGCCTGGGCAACACAACCTGCCTTGGGAAGGGCCACTAAGGTGGTGTGGCCCTTTAGTGCCCCTCTCCCCCCCCCCCCCCCCCCACGCCAGCATCGCCTCTATACCACAGGGCAATGGTCAGGGAATTCTTGAGTCCTAGGCCTGATTTCTTAGCTTCCGCTGGTCCCTCCTTTTCCCCCATGGTGGCTACCGTAGCCCTGCCTTCCTGATGGGGACTGGGAGAGAACCCTGGGCATCCCTGAGGGGAGCAGGATCAGTGGGCAGTGAGCTGAAGTCACAGATGCTTGGGCCTGCCTCCCATCCTGGCCACCTACCTTTTAATTTGATCTCTTGCCTCCAGGGGGCGCAGGAGGCCCGCAGAAAAACTCAAGGATGCTGGGCTGGGTCTCTCTCTCTCCAGGGTCTGGCCCTGGGGAGACCTGGGGTCCACCCCTCCCCGGTTTTGCCCACTTCCTCTTAGCAGACAAACCAAGTTCCTGGAATTGCTAACACAATGATTTATTTTTCTTTTCTTCACCGCTAAAGCCCACCTGCTCCCTGAGCAGCAGGCTCCCAGGGAGCCAGGATGATGGGCAAGGGCTTTCCCTCTGCTGCCCACCTCTGCCCAGGACCCTGCTGAACGCTTCCTAGGAGTGTCATCCTTCTGGGCCTCTCAGGTCACCTGCTCTGGGGCCTGGCATTGCTGCAGCTGCATGTTTAGCCACTGCTGCTTGGCTGTGTGTGCTGTGTGTTAATGGGCAGTGGGCATCTAGGGGAGCACTTTGTCCTGTCTGTTGCATCTGACTATGGTCCTGGCTCCTGACCAGTGGCGAGACAGGAGCTCCTCCTTCCGGGGGTCCCAGAGGGGCCAGCTCTCGGTGGGTGGACTCTTGCTGGGAGAGTGATTGGCAGCTCTGCAGAGGGACCGTCTGAAAAGCACCTAATACAAGTGTAACGTAAACAGCTTCCCATGTCCTATTGGTCCTCAGACAGTCCTGCTGCCAGCCACTCAGGTCAGTGGGGGATTGTTTCCAGGTGTGGGGTGGGCTGCAGTGAACCCCTCTGCTCTCTGCTGGGTGACCTCTTCAGAACCAAGGTCACTGGCCCAACTGGGGACAGGGGCTGGGTGGGCTCCTTCTAGAAATGCCTGACACATTCTGGCCGGCTCAGCAAATGACCCGTGGTCCTAATGTTTCCTTGCACTTCTAGTCTTGAGGGAAGCAAAGACCTTTATGGTTTATTTTGTCAAGCTCTTGGTGGCAGAACAGATCTCATTTTATCTCTGCCCAGGATCCCATCCTGCATCTTTCTCTCCCCAAAAAAGAATCAGGTTCATTTCTAATACCTCAGTGTTAACAACAAGCACTGAGCTTCTTATTTTGTTGATCAGAAAACTTAGGAGAGAAGATCAGAGAGGCCAAATGGAGTGATTAGGATCACACAAGCCAGTACCTGGTAGAGTCAGAACCGAACATCACATATGGATTAAAAAATACCTCATCTATCTGTCCATCATCTACCATCCCTCCACCCACCCATCCATCTATCTATCATCTATCCACCCATTCATCCGTCTAATTCATAAACCGGTGTAGTTGTATTTTGAAAGGCAGTGCAGTAGTGGCTTCCTTTCTTTGAGTACTTACTAAGCTCTGGGTTTTACATGTGGCGTCCACTTGGTTTGCTCAGCATCCCTACGAAGTCACTCTTCTTAAAGCCACTTTATGCCAGCAAAGAAGCTGCACCTCAGAGAGATAAAGAGAGTTTTTCCAGCAAGTACTGGGAGCCATGCCTTGCGTGTATGACTCAAATTCCCAAGCCGTCTCCTTGTCAGTTTCTCCAGCAGTGGTACTTGGCTCGGACTTCTGTGCCGTTTACCACACACCGCCTATGTCTGTAAATGTTTGTCTCTTCTTCTGTCCATCCACGCTCTAGATAGTCTATACGCATCCCTCCTTCATGCAGCCACCTTCATTAGTTCATCTCCTCCTCAGAGGTGCACTGGAGCCTAGCTTCCAAGAGCTCAGGAACCAGCTAAGCACAGGTTCACACTCAGAGATGGCACTTTGGTAGCTTGGCATTGTCCTAGGGGGGAATGGGGGACTTCTACTACGAAATACTACAAAGCAGCTACCTATTTATGGGAAGCCAGTTGTTAACTAGTTGCCTGTCAGTGCCCATCCATCCATCCAATCCATCCATCCACCCATCCATCCATCCATCCATCCATCCCCTAATTCCCTGCTAGCTTTTCATCTTAAAAGTACACCAAGAACCTTTAATTGCAAGCCTGATGCTGGGCTGGGATGAAGAGAAGCCATAGTCCTTAATTTCAGGGCATTATTTCCCTTTCCCCAGAGCAAAGGGACTGGGGCTTGATTCCCCCCACACCAAGCCCCCCGCCCCCCGGCCAATCTGTGATTCTCATTGGCAGAGGCCCAGCCCATGGCTGCCTGGCCGTTGGGGTGGAACTACTGGAGCTCATTCCAGCCATACCTGACAGTTACTGCTTGGGCCCAGGGCTGCCATGTCCTGCCTGCTCCGATGATCCATCTGCCACTTGACCTGAGTCTCCTTTTTCCCCTGTTGTCTATGTTTTGTTTCCTCCCTGTCCTGGCTGCTCCTCTCACCTGCTCTCCTTCTGCCTGGCCGCTTGGGGGCTCCAGCTTTCTCCAGACCTGACTAGGCTAAAGGAGAGATGCGCCAGAACTAAGAGAGACATCTTGGCTTTAAGAGTTGGGGGGAGAGACATGCAGGAGTTGAAGCACAAGTGCGACTGTAAGGTACTGTCCGTCGGCCCCGCCCTGTCCCCAGGGGGCCTTGCTGCTGCGCTGGGCTGCGGCGGGCAGGCACGTATCTCCAGGCCCAACCCTGAGACTCTGAACCTGGCCGCACCTCACATCTGCACCGCAGTGGGGATGGTACCTTACGTAGTAGCCAGCCGTACCTGCCTGGACCTCCCCGTCCTGTCACAGAAATTCTAATGGTCCATGAGGATGCCTGGGTAGGGGAGGGGGTGGATTTCAATCTTTAGGACCCCCAGAATTACCCAGGGTTCCTTGTTAAAAAAAATGCAGGTTCCTAGCTGCGGATGGTGTAGTGGTGCATTGCCTGTAATCCCAGCACTTTGGAGACTTGAGGCGGGAGGACTGCAAAATCGAGGCCAGCCAACCAACACCAGGACTGGCTGGGCAGGCCTGTGAGGTGCTTGGCCGTGAGAGCCTCAGTGGAGACTGGCCACTGTAACTATCTCATGGTTGGCTGGCTGGTCCCAATGGCACCCTGGGGACAGCTGTCTTTCCACCAAGAATGTAGCCTGATGGCTGTAGAGCTGAGGCTCCAGCCTGGGCGTTTTAGTAGCCTGGTCTCCCTGTGGCTGAGCCTGAGTTCCCAGAAGGAAGAGGCGGGGAGGGGGGTTTCCCAGATCCCCCGCAGCATCTGAGACCCATCAGAGTGCTGGGGCTTAGGGAGGTCCCCGGAGGCAGAGCAAGGTGCAGCCCCGGGCCAGCCATGTGCCGTGAGGATGAGTACGTGTGCCAGGCTCTCACACAGAACTTTCTGGTCTAATCCCCGGATGCTCTTTTTTGGACTTGGGGAAAATGTCCAGTGTAGGGCTTCAGATGACCTCCCAAATACCAGATCAACCTCATAGATGGCTTAGGAGGGGAATTGGGCCCAGGAACAGAAGTTTCCAGTCTGGTATGTGCCCCGCTTTTGAAAAATGATGCACCCCAGGAAATACGGGCATCGTGGTGTAACCTCTGCGATTGCCATCTGCCCCTACCTAGATTCTCAAGCGTTGTGCCCTGCCTGTCAAGAAGCCAAGAGCCCCAGGGAGAGAAGTGAGCTGGGAGGGGTTCTTTCTGCCCAGGGTGACTTCCAGAAAGCTGCCCTGGCTCCTGACGAGCTTCTGCCTTGGGCAGCCTCTGTAGCCAGTCCTCTTCTAGATCCCTGAGAAGTTCATGGCCCTGCAGCTGAGGACCAAGAGGCTGGCCGAGGAGGCCAGAGCCCCACTTCCCCAGCACAGGCTCTCTGCCTTCAGACAGAGGGGCTCCTGAGCACCACGAGTGCACCGTGCCCTGGGGATTGATTAAAATGAGATGTATGCAGGGGTCTGGACCTCCATCCTGGCAGCTGAATGGAATCCACATGACCACCTGCGGGATGGCACCTAGTTCCGGCTGTGTGTTGGAGAAGGCATCCAGGTTGGGGCTGGGAGTGAGGGACGAAGAGGACAGAGACATGACGGGACAGTGGCTGCCCCCGGGCGCCCAGGGTGCTGCTCCTGGGCGTGACACCCTCCTCCTGCTTTGTGTCCTGCTTGGCTTGCTATGTCAGCACCACAAGGAATGGGCGTCCTGCGTGCTTTGCAAACTCAGCTCTTCCTTCTGCCGGGCAGCAGCTCAGAAAGGAACCTGGCTTTGGGATAGCAAGGGCCGGGGCTGCTGACTTGGGCTGAGCAGCAGATGGATGAGGCGGCACTTACCTCCTGTTAGTGACCCAGGCCTGTGGCCCAGCAGGCCTCCCCAGAGCTGCCCCCCCTCCCCTCCCCGGGCCTCCCAGGCCCTTCCAGGGGGGGCAATTGTACCATTAGTTCATGTTCTCTGGGGGAAATTGAGGCAAAGTGACTTGTCCACTTGCTGGGGGAATGTCAGGATTTGAACCCAGGCCTAGGACTCCAGCCCCCTCCCCCCTCCGCTATTCTACCATCTCTTAATTGGGAGCCTGGGTACATAGATTGTCCTGGAGGAAATGGGTGAGGGTCAGCCCTGTCCACAGGGAGAACCCCGGGCCATGAATACACCTGTTCCCCCCCTCCCTTCCCCCAACGGTCCCTCCTGGCCTCTGCTGTTCGCCATGGGGGCAGCATGGGCTGGTGGCTCTGCCGTGTGGTGCAGCCGGGCTGCAGCCCCTCTCCTTTGCCTCTCTGACAGTCCCTCTCCTTCACTCAGATGACCCAGCTCATGAAGGCTGCCAAAAGCGGAACCAGGGACGGGCTGGAGAAGACGCGGATGGCCGTCATGCGCAAAGTGTCCTTCCTACACCGGAAAGATGTCCTTGGTGAGGTGCTACGCTGCCCGGCCTGGGAGGGCGTGGTGCTCTGCTCTGCTCTGCACCGGGAGTAAGGGGGGGCCCATCTTCGCCACCCTCTGAGGTCATACAGGGCGGGGTGACACTGGGCTGGGTGACTGGCCTCTTCTGGCTGGGGGTGGTGGTGGTGGTGGTGGTGGTGGATGAAACCCCAGATGTCCCAATCGGTCTTGACGTGGCAGGCATCACGCCCCTCCCCGATGCCAGTGTCCTGGCCTGGCCTGGGTTTACCCTGGCCGCCTGTATTCTGGCTCAGCGGACCTCATCTTCACTATTTCTCTTCATCCAGTCAGGGTTTTCCCAATACCTGCTAAGTCCCATCCCCCCAAGCTGCGTGCAGGGTACCAAAATCAATTCCACAGCGTTTCCTCGAGGGCCCGGGTGCCCTGGGGAGGGAGGGCGGCGGGGACATCCATGGAGAGGACCGGTCAGCCAGTGGTCCAGTATGTTCCCTGCGGGGAGGTGTGGAGGAAGTGGGTATAGACAAGGGTGAAAGGTAAGATGGGAGAAGAAGACCCAGGTCCCCTGGCAGAGGGGAACAGTGCTCCTGGAAGAGGATAGAGCATGTGCAAAGGCCCAGAGGTGGCAAGGTAGAAGATGCCCAAGAAACAATATTGATGGTGGATGCATGTTGAGTACTTATGTGCCTCCATTCTTCTGAGAACTTGGTTGTGTGGATGCAGAACAAGGCAGGGAAGGCCAGCACATTCCCACATGCAGGTAAGGGGACAGGCACAGAGGGGTCAGGGGTCTACATGAGAGACACACACACACATACACAGACACACAGACACATGGACACACAGACACACACACACAGAGGCCTGAGGCCTGGAAGGGGAGGAGGAGGTCAAGGCACACACACACACACACACACACACACACACACACACACACACACACCACACAGCACACACACACACACACACACATACACAGACACACACACACACACACACACACACACACAGAGGCCTGAGGCCTGGAAGGGGAGGAGGAGGTCAAGGCACACACACACACACACACACACACACACACACACACACACACACACACACACACACACACACACACACACACACACACACACACACACACACACACACACACACACACACACACACACACACACACACACCACACATACACACACACAGACACACACACAGGCCTGGAAGGGGAGGAGGAGGTCAAGGCAGGTTGGCGGGGCCCTATGGGCCTTGCTGGACATAGAAAGGTCATTTAGGTTTTAGACAGATTTGATTAATTACTACTTGTTACCATTCATTCAGTACACCCCCCCCCATTCCCACCCCTACCCCCTGTGTTGTTTTTTTTTTCCGGGCCTGAGGCTTGAACTCTGGGCCCGGGCGCTATCTCTGAACTACAGCTTTACTACTGGCTTTTTCTGTTTAAGTGGGAGATAAGAGTTTCATGGACTTTCTGGTCTGGGCTGGCTTCACACTGTGATCCTCAGATCTCAGCCTCCTGAGTAGCTGGGATGACAGCCGTGGGCCACTGGTGCCCGGCTACTGATCCGAGTCTCCTCTGGGCCCTGGCCTCCTGGCTGTGACCTGGCCTAGTCCCTCCTCTGGAGGGATGGTCAGAACCCCCACCTGGGGACGGAGTGGGCATGCCCGCTGTCTGGGGCTGCCTATGGCGGAGCCTCCAAAGAAAGGAACAGGCCTGGCGGCCAGGGACAGCTTCTGGGACCTCCTCCCCCACCCACTGACTCGGGCCTTTCCTAAAGTGACCCTCCCACATGGTGTTATTAATAGCCGGGCAGGGCTCAGATCCCAGGCCAAGAATGTTACCCAGCAGTGTGTGGGGGAAGAGGAAGCCTCGGAGCCAGCGGCTGGGGTGGGTGCACAGAGATGCCCTGGGCATCATGGGGGCCAGGCAGGAGGGCCCCCGCCACTCCCTCCTCCACCCCTACCCCCACCCCGTCATCCGCTACCCCTCCTCCTCCTCCATCTCCTGCTCAGGTAAGGGTCCACCATGGATGCCTGCTCCCCCAGCCACCCCCGGGGTGGCTGGCACTTCTTCTTTTCTCCACCCTCTCCCACCCCACCTCCCCACTTCCTGCCCCCTGCAGAGGCCATGTGCCAGGTCCCATCTCCGGGTTCCTGAGCCTCGTGTGTGTGTGTGTGTGTGTGTGTGTGTGTGTGTGTGTGTGTGTGTGTGTGTGTGTGGTGGGGGGGGGGCAGGGTACTTGGATCCTACAAGGACAGGCCTGGACTCTCCTCTGAGAGAGGCTGCCATCTGTCCCCTTCTGTTCCAGTGTGGAGACCCCTCCCACACCCCCCACCGATGCAGGCCCAGGACTCTCAATCAGATTCTAGGCAAGCATTGTCCTTGGGACCTCTCATTAAAGGAAAAAATAAAAGAAAAAGAGGGTGTAGCGCAGATCTGTTCTTCTCGGGACTTATGTCCCTCCCTATTTTTAGTGCTGGGGACAGGGATACGGTGGTTGGCCTTGGCTGGGCCGGCGCAGGCAGGTCTGAACAGGGAATTCAGGCAAGGCTGGTCCCAAGATTGAGGCCGGGTTCTGTTCCTGCTGGGTCGCTCATTCCCTCTTCTGCCATCCCTGTCTCCCACGGCATGTGAGTGCTCCTGGGTGATTCCGGGCTCCTGGGGCAGCTGGGCAGCCGGGAGACTGGCTTCAGCCCCTCAGGCCCGGCACTGGTCTGGGTGGCTCTCAGTTCCCTGGGGCCTGAGCAGGCTGTGCTATCCTCACCTGAGCTGCTGCCCCTGGCCCGTCCGACTTCCCAGGTGACTCGGAGGAGGAGGACATGGGCCTCCTGGAGGTCGGCGTGACAGACATCAAGCCCCCAGCCCCGGAGCTGGGCCCCATGCCCGATGGCCTGAGCCCGCAGCAGGTGTGTGGGGAGCAGAGTGTGGGGGCCTGTGGGTGGGGGAGGGGGAGGGCAGGGGGTGTCTGGGTCTTGAAGGGGCAGTGACAAGTGGGGTTCCGTTCCACATTGTTGTTTTGGGGGAGGGCGAGGTCCCGGCATCTGGTGAGTTTGTCTCTGGGCCCCAGGACAAGCAGAGCAGGTTGTTGGTGAGGTGTCCTTTGAAGAAGGGAATGGGACAAGTAAAGCCTGAAGCATGCTGACCTGTCTAGCTTAGGAAGGACTGCCAGGTGTCCACACGTGCAGGCCAGGGGCTCCTGAGTCCATCACGGCGTCTGCTGGGAGCTGTGGTGGACGCCAGCTGCGTTTCACAGAGCAAGACCAGGCAGCTGTGCCCGGCTGGAGACCCTGGCCAGGTCACAATTGACCCTCTTGGTCTGGATGGGAGAGGTGTCTGTCCGCAAGCTCACGGGCAGGGCTGTGGGGACAGAAAATCCTGATGTCTGGCCTCAGGATGACAGGGCCACACCGGCCTCATCCCTGCCCACAGCCTTCAGCTGGGGTGGCAGGAAGCGTGCCCCTCCGTGGATGCTTGCTGGTGGTGGCATGCGGCATGGTTCCTCCCCTGGCCTCAGGGTTGAGGTCCACAAGTACGTGGCTCTGAGAGGCTTTGGGCGTTGCTCATGGTTTTCAGAGAGCCAGGCTGAGCCTGGACTCCCCACTTTCAGAGTGTCTCTCTCTCTCTCTCTCTCACTCTCTCTCTCTCTCTCTCTCTCTCTCTCTCTCTCTCTCTCTGTCTGTCTCTGTCTCTGTCTCTCTCTTACCTCTGGGGGCCCCTTCCTGGACCAGATGTTCTAGTGACCCCAGACCCTTGGCTCTTGGCAGAGGACAGTTTCAGATCTGCTAGGGACAGTTGACAGCTTTGGTTATGGAGGCTCAGGGTTCAACCGGCATGTGTTGGGCAGAGGCCAGGGGAGCGCTGAATGCCCTGGGGTGCCATGGACAGCCCCTCGGAGTTACTCAGCCCAAGTCCGGGCACTGAGGTTCAGGATTCAGCTCCACATGGGCACTGCCCGGAGTGGAGTGGTTGGTGCCACAGCCCCAGCTTGTGTGACGTGGGGTGGGGGGGGGCATTTGTGGGAGCGGTGGGAGGAGAGGATGGGTGGCTAGAGTTGGCAGAGGGAGCTGGGCTGTGGCCGCGGGGCCAGGACTGACATTCTCAGGACAGCCAGGACAGGGAAGGGAGAGGAGAGGAGAGGTGGCCGCCCAGCCCTTGGTGCAGATGGACAGACTGCACTCACACAAGACATCTTTGTGGGGGCACTCAGCCTGGCCCAGCCCAGCACTGAGAAGGAGGGGGGGGAGAGAGGGGAGAGGGGAGGGAGAGGAAGGAGAGAGAAGGGAGAGAGAGGGGAGAGAGAGAGCTAGAGGGGGAGAGAGGGGGAGGGGGGCAGAGAGAGAGAGAGAGAGAGAGAGAGCGCTAGTCCTAGCACTCAGGGCCTGGGCTCTGCCCCTGAGCTTTTCTTGCCCTAAGGATGACACTCTACCTTTTTTTTGTTGTTGTTGTTGTTTTTGGTACGGTTGTGGGGCTTGAACTCTGGGCCTGGGCGCTGTCCCTCAGCTCTTCAGCTGAAGGCTAGCACTCTACCACTTGAGCCACAGCGCCACTTCCGGCTTTTTTCTTTTTGCTTATGTGGTGCTGAGGAATCGAACCCAGGGCCTCAGGCATGCAAGGCAAGCGCTCTACCACTGAGCCACCTTCCCAGTCCCACACTCTACCATTTGAACCACAGCTCCACTTCTGGCTTTTTGCTGGTTAATTGGAGATAGGAGTCTCACGCCTTTTACTACCTGGGCTAGCTTGGAACAGCGACCCTCAGATCTCAGCCGCCTGAGTAGTTAGGATGGCAGGCATGAACCCGGTTCCTGAGGGACATTTTAAAGGCGGATGCCCAGGTCACCTCAGGACCAAAGGACTCACAATGTCCAGTGGGAGGGTGTAGGCAGGTGACAGGATGTTTTAAAGGTCCCACGTGATTCCACCGCGCAGCAAAGTTTGTGACCTATGACCGTGCCACGCCCGGGGGAGCGAGGGAGAGGGTTACCCTGCACCTGAGCCGGTGCTGGTCGGCAGCACTGAGGGGCTTGGTGCCCTCTGGGCTGGCCTGATGCAGGCTGGGGGAGGGGGCGATGAGGAACATGGGCGGAAAAAGGGAAGGGAGATGAGATGGTCAGGGAGGGATGGTGCCCACCCACCCGGCCGGCCTGTCAGAGGGGCAGGTACCGCTGCATTCCCCCCTGCCACACTGTAGGTGAGGCTGAGACTTCATATCCGCCTAAGATGGAAGTGGGAGGAGAGGTAGTGACTTCCCCCTCCCTGGGTGTATGCGAGCGGAAGCCAGCAGGATCTGCTCTCCTTCCTTCCCGGGGGCCTCAGCCTGGGCAGCATGGTGTTTCTCCCTGGGGTCTATGAGTGGCTGTGGAGCCCCTGTGTCCTGTGTCTGCAGTGTCCCTTCCTGTCCCCCCTCCTGTCCCCCCCCACTCAGCAGCCGCCGTGCCCCCCCCCCCCCCCCGCAGCGTGTCCGCTGGCCCCCTGTGTGACTGTAGCTCTGCCTGGCAGGTGGTCCGGAGACACATCCTGGGCTCCATTGTGCAGAGCGAGGGCAGCTACGTAGAGTCCCTGAAGCGGATACTCCAGGTGCCTCCTTGGGTCTCGCAGGGGAGGAAGGGAGGAAGGGGGGCACTTCCTAAGGAGCATTTGGGAAGGGGACCCCACACTGGCCTTGTTTAGGGGGGGATGGCAGGAGCTCCAAATGGGAGGGTTCAGGTAAGGGTTCCCCAGGCCCCGGTGTTCATGCTCATGGCTAGTAATGAAATTGGGATTCCCCCAAATGAGAGGGTCGAGGCAGGGCGGGCCTCTTTCATGCCCAGAAAGGTGCTGTGTCTTCCTGGCCACTCTGGGACCCCCCCGGGGCTCCGCAAGGCGGGGATGGGGGGTGAGAAGCTCCTGGTTTCTCACAGGGGGATCACTAAGCCCACGTGAGTGCCATGTGTCCTGGGTGTGCTGCCCTGGCCTGGGGTTTGAACCCCTGACTCCATGACTCTTCCCGCTGCCAGTGTGAGGCCACCTCTCTGAGTCTGGGCCTGCTAGGAGGGTGGCACTCCCTTGGACAGACACCTCTGGGTGTCCCCAGCTGGCCAGCCCCTCCCTCGGGGCTGCCTCCCTAGCACAGAAAAGACCCTCCTGCTCCCCGCGACCCAGCTTAGCACAGAAGTCCCAGGGGCTGTGATGGGCAGCGAGAGAGGAGAGGGGCATCGCGTTCACGGAGAACCTTCCAGAAGGATGTGTGAGGAGGGAGGGTGTTTCTTCACCCTGCAGGAAGGTGTGGGTGTGTGTGGGGGTGTCTGCCGCGTTCCCTCAGCCCTGACGGCCCCCGGCTCCCTGCAGGATTACCGCAACCCTCTGATGGAGATGGAGCCCAAGGCGCTGAGCATCCGCAAGTGCCAGGTGGTATTCCTCCGGGTGCGGGAGATCCTGCACCTGCACTCCATGTTCCAGATCGCCCTGTCCTCCCGCGTGGCCGAGTGGGACTCCACGGAGAAGATCGGGGACCTCTTCGTGGCCTCCGTAGGTGTCCCCAAACACTTTTCGTGGCCTCCCCCCTGGGTAGAACCACAGCCAGCCTGACCTCAGAGGTCATGTGATCCAGTCTCCCTCCTCTGCTGGGGCCACTTGCCTGAGCCAGCGGGGCCGGAGGGCAGCAGGGCCCCCAAGTCTACATGGGCTATGCTGGGGGTGGACGCGGCCCCTTGGAGTGCCGAGATGGCCTTTGAAGAGGACCTCCAGGCCGAGCGCAGCCACCACCTGGCTTGCCCAGATGGGGAACCCCCTGGGATACCAGTGGCCTCCAGCCACCTAAACTACCCTCACCCAGCACTCAAAGAGCGATGGGCTGCTGGAGGATAAGCTGGCTCAGGCAGTGCTCAGGGTCCCAGGGGTGCTGGAGAAGAAGACCTGGCCTTGGAGGTCAGGTCTGGTCTCCCGAGGTCCTGGCCTGGGTTTGGGATCTCAGACAGTTCTAGAGGCCCCTCCGGTCTCTGGGGCCTGAGGGGGGTGCAGGGTGTAGGGAAGGCCAAGCCAGCTAAAAGAAAAAAAGATCAGCTGGGCGCCGGTGGCTCACACCTGTAATCCTAGCCACGCAGGAGGTTGAGATCTGAGGATCACTGTTCAAAGCCAGTCTGGGCAGGAAACTCCATGAGACTCTTATCTCCAATGGACCACCAAAAAGCTGGAAGTAGAGCCGTGGCTTAAGTGGTAGAGTGCTAGCCTTGAGCACAAAAAAAAGGAAAAGAAGAAACGTTACAGGACAGTGCCCAGGCCCGGAGTTCAAGCCTCAAGATGGCACATATATATATAATATATATACACATACATATGTATGTATGTATATATATACATATATATATATATATATATATACACACACACACATACACATATATACATATAGTCTTGAAAAACCACAGGGTTTGGTAGATCCTCTGAATGGACAGCATCCTTGGCTGGTGTGTCTGGGGGGCTGTGGCAAGGAGGGAGGGTGGGTTCCATGCCTATGCCCTGCCTTCTACAGCTCAGCTCTAGAGACATCACTATGGTGAGAGCTGGGGGCCCTGTCCAAGAAAACACATATAAAGCAAATAATATCCCCTCCCTCTGTGATCTTGGGGTGATTTCTGCTTCTTCAAGCCCAGATTCCCTTCCCAAACAGAGCGGCAGGTCAGCTGGCCTCACGGGTTTGCTGCCTGCCCCACAGAGATGACACCTCCCCCCCCCCCCACTTCTTTACAGTTTTCCAAGTCCATGGTGCTGGACGTATACAGCGACTACGTGAACAATTTCACCAACGCCATGTGCATCATCAAGAAAGCCTGCCTCACCAAGCCAGCTTTCCTCGAGTTCCTCAAGGTGGCCCCGGGCTGTCCAGGCCGCTGACCAGGGCTGGGCTGGGGGAGGCTGAGCACATGGGAGGTACACGTCAGCCCGGAACTTGATGTCACAGCTGTGACCTGCACCCCTGCCCGGCCCCTTTGGGGATGCCTCAGTTCTGTGGGGGAGAAACTACTTCTTGATCCCCGGAGGGGGCAAGGATGAGCTAAAGGCTCTGTGGGAGGCAAGGGTCCCCGAGCTGTGCAGCCGGGAGGGCAGGCCTGCGAAGCCCCGTAGGGGGTGTGCGGGCTCCGCCTTGCAGCTCTGGGGCTATGGCTAGGGCCTGGGGTTCCTTGTTTGAAAATGAGGAGGGTGTCTCCCCAGGTCCTGGGTGTCAGTCACTTGGGAGGATGGAGGCTCAGGGCTATGGTTAGCTTTGGAGTCCGTGAGGGGCTATGGTCAGGTTCCCCAGATGCTGGAAGAGGAGCAGGTGAGGTCGACAGAGCCCTGGCTACAGGGAACTGGCATCCATGGAGGACACGGATGGGTGGATACTAGAGACTCAGTGGGAGCCTCTGGGTCTGACTTCCATTGGGTACTGGAGGCTCAGCGGGGAGCTCGGGAACTAACTTGCCCTGGGTACGGGGGTTCAGTGGGAGCCTCAGGGAGAGATTTGCCCCAGGTACTGGGACTCAGTCAGTGGGAGCCTTGAGGACTGAGTTGCCCTGGGTACGGGGGCTCAGTGGGAAGCTTGGGGACTGAGTTGCCCTGGGTACGGGGGCTCAGTGGGAAGCTTGGGGACTGACTTGCCCTGGGTACTGGGGACTCAGTGGGAAGCTTGGGGACTGACTTGCCCTGGGTACTGGGGGCTCAGTGGGAAGCTTGGGGACTGACTTGCCCTGGGTACTGGGGGCTCAGTGGGAAGCTTGGGGACTGACTTGCCCTGGGTACTGGGGGCTCAGTGGGAAGCTTGGGGACTGAGTTGCCCTGGGTACTGGGGGCTCAGTGGGAAGCTTGGGGACTGAGTTGCCCTGTGTACTGGGGGCTCAGTGGGAAGCTTGGAGACTGAGTTGCTTTGGGTACTCAGCGGGAGCCTCGGGGACTGACTTGCCCTTGTCCTCCCCAGCGCCGACAAGTGTGCAGCCCAGACCGCGTCACCCTCTATGGGCTGATGGTGAAGCCCATCCAGAGGTTTCCACAGTTCATCCTCCTGCTTCAGGTACTGCCAGGGGTTCGGCTTCTGCTGGCCTGGGGGTGGGTGTGGGTGGCACAGATGATCAGGGCTTGCCTGGGGCAGTCAGAGTCCTCCCACCCCCAGGGTGAGGCTCCGGCCTCACCTTCCTCCTGCACTGCAGTGCATCAGGTTCCATGGCACGTTGGGTCCTTCTGCCCAGAGCAGGCAGCAGTCGGTGACAGCCACAGGGCCCTGGGACCCGAGGGCCTTAGCTGCCAGTGGAGGGACGGTGGTGTCTTGGCCTCTGTTTACTCACCAGTGAGTGGTCATCAGTGCATCAGCGCCAGTGAGCGCTTTTCCGTATTTGCCACCAGTGGACCAGTGCTGAGCGGGGGATCTGGGGCGTCCCCTTCATGCCGCAGTCCCCACCTCCCCCTCCGCCAGCTCTCCTTCTGTGCCAAGGAGACTCTGTCCATTAAGCCCCATCTGGATGCCCCCCTGCAGCCACCCCGCCCTCCCCGTCCAGCAGCCCTGTCCTGCCCACTGAGCCCAGGGATCCTGCCACTCTAGGAGCCTCCTGCCTGCGGAATCTCGCAGTGTTTGTCTTTTCGTGAGGACGTTGTATCCTCAGGTTCATTCGCCTTGGCATGATGTCAGAATTTCCTTCCTTTTAATTTACTTATTTATTGTTCCTTTAAAAGTTTGGTGCTGGTCCTGAGACGTGAACTCAGGGCCTTGTTCTCTCTTGGCTTTTTTTTTTTTTTTTTTTTGGCTCAAGGCTGTTGATCTCCCATTTAAGCCGCAGCTCCACTTCTGGCTTTTTTTTTTTTTTTCTTTTTCTTTTCTGGTTTATTGGAGGTAAGAGTCTCACACACTTTCCTGCCCTGCCTGGTTTTGAACCATGATCCTCAGATCCCAGCCTCCTGAGTAGCTAGAATGACAGGCATGAGCCATCTGTACCTGGTGATTTCTTTCCCTTGTTGAGGCCCGTGTGTGTTTGAATGTATAGAGCGGCCACGTTTTACCCCCCCAGCTATCACTCAGTGGCCATCTTATTTTGGCCATTGTGAGTCGCACTGCTGTGGGCACAGTAGACGGATGTCTCTAAGAGCCCTTGTGATGACAGTGCTGTTGAGCATATACTCTGCGAGGCACACAATGATCTTATTCTCTTCATTCATTAGCAGCCCCTCTGGGCTATTCTACACCCAGTACCAAGCTGCACCCTTCAGACCTGGTCTGTGGGGGTGGTGTGGGGGCATAGCTTTGCCCCAGCCCAGAGAAGGCCTGTGTGTGTGTGTGTGTGTGTGTGTGTGTGTGTGTGTGTGTGGTGCCGTGTCCCAGTCTTGGCTCATCTCTGGCTGGTAGGACATGCTGAAGAACACCCCCAGGGGCCACCCGGACAGGCTGTCTCTGCAGCTGGCCCTCACGGAGCTGGAGACCCTGGCTGAGAAGCTGAATGAGCAGAAGCGACTGGCTGACCAGGTGGCTGAGATCCAGCAGCTGACCAAGAGCGTCAGCGACCGCAGCAGCCTCAACAAGGTGAGAGCAGCCTCCTCCCCCCCCCCCCCCCCCGCCCCCTCTGCCGTCCCCACCTGCGAGGTTCCGATGTTCTTAGAGAGAGGGGCAATCTTTGTTTCTCCAAACCCACTGCTCTGGTCTCCCGGTTCAGATTCTCACCTGGAGCCCACATTTATCGCTGCACATGCTATTTTAGGGTACAGGCAGCTTTTAGTTAAAACAAGAGGCTCTGGGTTTAAAATTCAGATATTGTTTGTGCCACTGGTGCTTGCTGTCTGGCATCGGGGGACAGCCTCAACCTCTCTGAACCTCACTTGCATCCTCTGGTAGGAGGAGAATTCAGTAGCATCAGACAGCCAAGGTTGCTTGAAGATACATGAGGAGGAGGACCAGCCCCTTCCAAGAGCCCTTAGTAGAGGAAGAAGAGAATGGAGGCCATGGTCTGCTGTGGTATTGGCCTACACTGGTATAGCTTAATAAAAGCAAAACAAAAGCCCTTAAAATGCGCAGATGAATATTCAGAGAGCCCTAGTTTTAGAGCACAGGCCACCTTACCACAGCTCCTGTTTGCCTTCCACCCCATCCCGGCCTGCAGTTCTGGACCCCTCTCCCTCCCTCTGCGCATCGCTGGCCGTGGGAGGGGGAGGGGACCTGCCTCAGCCTGTGGGAAGGCTGTCTTTGTATCAGCCTATGGGAGGTTTTCATGTCTTGGGGGGGGCGGAAATCGAGGAGCCCTTTCCTCAGGCACAAGGCCTCAAACACAGGACTTCCTGTTCTCCCTCGGCTTTTTTGCTTAAGGCTGGCGCTCTACTGTGGAAGCCACACCTTCAGCCTGGCTTTTATGCTGGTTAACTGGAGAGGAGATGGAATCTCTCAGGTTTTCTGCTCCCCAGCTGGCTTCAAACCATGACCCTCAGATCTCAGCCTCCTGAGCCGCTGGGATTACAGGTGTGAGCCTCAAGTGCCCCTTGCCTCTCTGTAGGGTCTGAGGCTATGGCTGGCTGTTCCAGAGAGGAACAGGGAAGAGTTCTGCAGTGCCCGGGAGGACAGCTGGCAGCCCCGCTCTTATGCACCACAGTTGCCAGTGCAAAGATCTCTGCGGCTGGCACCGCTAGGCCCACGGGCCCGTGGGGCAGGTGTCCCTTCTTCTCAGGTCCCTTTTTAGGCTGCAGATGGACTGGGGTCTCTACACTGTATTTCTAAGATGAGGGAAGTCGTTGGCAACCTTTAAAAACTGAGAGATTTTCCACAAGATCCTGACTGGCAGATGTGAGAGCGGCTGCCCACATCCCTCGCATTCCTCTCCCCACTAGCGCCACCTGCTGGCTGGAAGCCCTCTGGGTTTGCCCCCTCTGTTCAGGGGCCCAGAGCTGGGGATGAAGACGTGTGTGTGTGTGTGTGTGCTTGTGTGTGTGTGTGTGTGTGTGTGTGCGCGTGCGCGCGTGTCCCTATCCATTCAGGATTTTTCAGGGTATTGCCCACTTCACCATCCTGTCCTGAAAGCCCGCAGGTTTGCAATGTCTCTGGAGGGCAGAATTCAGCCCAGGATGGCTACCTATGCCATCCTTCATGCCTGGGAGGTTTTCCTTTCATTCACCCCCAGCTCCCTGTGTGGGGTACTTGGGGATCCTTTCCTCTTTGGTTCACACATCTTTGAGCTGAGCACATGCAAAGGAGGTCTCCCCTGGAGACCTGCTGTTGGTACGTGGTGGCGGCTGGCTGGAAGTCAGGGCCACCGGATTGACGCTGAGGAAGGCAGGCCCTGCAGGCCTTGAGCCTGTTTTCACCTCTAGCAAGGGAGGGCTGAGCTGGGCAGCGGTGAGATGCTGTGGTGGTGGTCACATGTGGTATCCCCCTCGGAGCTCTCCCGGGACGGTCCTGACCCGTGAGTTGTTCTCCCTTCGTCACCCAGAGAAGCAGAAATGAAACTGGGCGTAGCCCGAGCCGGAATCGTGCCCCTATTTCAAAAGAGCTGATTCAGGAGCCCGTGGAGGGACCGTTTGGGCAATATCCGTTTTTTTTTTCCCCTCCTATTCTTGTCTTTTCAAAGAAATCCCTGTGAACCAGTAGGGGAGGGCGCCCCTGGCAGTGTCTGGCGGAAACCTTCTGCCCTCAGGACCCTAGTCAGGTTTTCGTGAGCCTCTGCATCTGGCTCAATTGTGCAATCAGGGTGAGCGCCGCGCTAGCAGCTGTGAGCGATCTGGGCCATCCCCCTTCCTGTCATGCAATGCCCTGTCCACCCTGCAGGGGGCAGCACCTGCAGCCTGTCACTTTACCTATGGTATCTCCTCATCTGGGAAGTGGGAGGTCTCACAGGACCGCTCCTGGATTAGAGGGAGATGGAGCGGTGTTTGGGATGCAGCCACACCCTGTGCCGCTTGGACAGTTGGTTGTGCGGCAGACTTCGGTTGATCCTTGTGTATCTCCAAGAGGGCAGAGCATCCTCTTTTGGGTAGGCCTTAGGTGGCCTTTCCTTTCCCATCTAGTAGGGAAAGAAGAAAAGAAGGAAGGGAGGGAGGGAGGGAGGAGAAACGACGTCTGTTAGAGGCACAGCTTTTGGCGATATGTTTTTCTGGACCTCTCTCACCATCCCTGTGTTTCCCAGTCCTAGCGGGTTGGTGGGGCTGGTGTGAGCAGGTGAGGGTGGAGCTGGGGCTCAGAGCCAGTCTCTGTAGGTCAGGATGCAGCATGCCGCAGTGAAACCATCACCAACAGCGCCCCCAGGCAGAGGCCCGGGGACACCCCCAGGCAGAGGCCCGGGGAGTCTACGGTGTGCTGAGTGCAGGGCTGGTGCTGCAGGACTCCTTTGCCCTCCTGGGCTGCGCTCAGATTGCCCCTGTTCCAGGCTTAATGTGTTGCTGGTGGCATCTTGAAATCCTAACTGCTTTTGAGCCTAGGCCTGTGCTTTATTAAGTAACTAAGTCATAGACTTCGGTGATGCCCAGTGCCTCCCCAGCCTTGTGGCTTCTGCCTGTGGGCTCTGGGGTGGTAGAAATGCCCAGAGCCAGCCGGAGCCTAGGCTGGGACAAGGGGGTTCTTTCTTAGGCTTAGGGGCCCATGGGCCTTTACTTAATAAAGCCCAGTTACTTAACACAGCCACTCCAGTGGCCTCAGCCGCAGAGGGCAGGCTCTGCCTTGGCGGCTGGGGAAACTGAGGCTCAGGCAGGCAAAGGGTGCTGCTAAGGGGACCCAGCCAGGTGGGTACTCGGGATTCCCAGGGCCTCCCCCGAGCAGAGAACCTGGCAGGTGCCCCATGGCCTCACTGCACAGAATGTACGGTCACCCCAAAAATGGAGGTCGCTTTCGCTTCTCAGCCTCACTCTCCTTCTTTCTAAGGCAAAAGGTTCCAAGTCTCTGGCACCTTCTGTGAGGTTTGCGTAGCCGTCTAGGCCCTAAACTGATGTGGCTCCTCCCTGCCCCTCCTCCAGCTGTTAACGTCCGGCCAGCGGCAGCTGCTCCTATGTGAGACGCTGACGGAGACGGTGTACGGAGACCGAGGGCAGCTGCTCAAGTCCAAGGAGCGCAGGGTCTTCCTGCTCAATGACATGCTGGTCTGCGCCAACATCAACTTCAAGTAAGGGCCGGCCCGGGCTAGGGAAGTGCCGACCTGGGTCTGGGCCTGGGCTCGGGCGCGGCCTAGGATAGCCTGGAGCAGTGTGGGCCTGGGTCCACCCGGCCAATTCACTTGCATGTGTGCCTTTAGGTATCAGGATGCACCCCAGATCTCTAGCTGTGACCACCCCCCCACCCCAGTGGGCTCCTGAGCGCTTTAGAACATTCTGGAAAGGGCATGACGGCAGCAGTAGCTGAGGTTGCTGCTGGGTGCAGGGCAGAGGGGAGGAGGTGGGGCTGGGGCTTGTGTACTCCATGTGGCACCACAGAGCAGGTTTAGGGCCACCTGGCGCCAGGTCACAGGTCCCGGCAGGGGAGAGAGCAGGTAGGGTGGACGTTTCTCCCACCCCAGGACCACGCATCTCAGGTCCCCTGTATGTCTTTGGCCCTCATGCTGGCCAGGGTTAGGTGTGGTATGCAAAGTGGGGTCCTAGGGGCCTAGTCCTGGGATACTGGTTAGTGGGATAAGGGCTAAGTCACTTAATCTCACGGAGCAGGGCTGTCTGGAGAGAGAGAAAAGCAGGCCCAGTCCAGGGGGACAGCGCCCCCCCCACAGTTGCTCTGTCTGTCCATACCTGGTCCTGTGGGCCTCATCTACTCCCCCCAATATCTACCCCTCCGGATGTGCAGCCCAGGGCCACCCCCACCGTCCTCGGAAATGGCTTCGCCCCAGTAACCACATTCCTTATTGTCTTTTCCCCAGGCCGGCCAACCACAGGTAGGTGATTTGGGGCTCAGGTGCTTGGAGCATGTGGTTCTGGCTCTGGGGCTGAAGTGTGGCCTCCCTGGTGCTCGGCCCCAGCGAGGGTCCCTGGGCTGCTGTGGCTTGGTTCTGGCCTGAGGTCTTGTGCTTGGGCTGTGTGGAGCCTGGTTGAGCTGGGGTGCTGGGGTCCGGCGCTGTGTTGCCTCTGGGCCCGGGGCATGGCAGGCGCTCAGGACTTCTCTATTCTGTCCTGGCAGAGGCCAGCTGGAGATCAGCAGCCTGGTGCCCCTGGGGCCCAAGTACGTGGTGAAGTGGAACACGGCGCTGCCACAGGTGCAGGTGGTGGAGGTGGGCCAGGACGGTGGCTCCTATGACAAGGACAACGTCCTCATCCAGCACGCGGGTGCCAAGAAGGCCTCGCCTGCCGGCCAGCCCCAGAGTGAGTGCAGCCCCCCCCCCCCCGCCATGGGACCCCAGGACCCGCCTGTGGGCACAGGCTGACCAGCGCCCCACGCCCTGCCAGCTCTCCCCGCCCCGCCTGTGGCTCGCCAGCGGCCTGCAGAGAGCTCCCCCCCAGGTGCCTCAGGCAGGGGTCTCCTTGCTGCACCCAGGGCATCGCCTGCACACTGTCCTCCTTGAGCTCCAGGGGACCCTGCTGTCTGGCTCCGCCTGGCTCCCGTTTCCCTGAGGCCCCTAGGCCAGAGGAGTGCCGTGCAGGGCCGCCTGCCGGCAGCGCCTGACCCTCTGCTCTCTGCCTCCGCATGGCTGCCCTGTTATGCTCCCAGGACCCTGCAGTGGCCGCCTGGCTCCTGTCCTTCTCTCCTTTCCTCGTCATTCCACCACGTGGCATCAAATCTGTGTGCCTCCCCCGCCACCCCGGTGCCTCCCCTCGCTCTTGGAATAGAGGTCCCATGCCCACTTTGAATGTCCCTCCCTTCCCCTCTCTTCCCTCTCCTCCCTGCCCAACCACTCTCCCCCCTGCTGGGGCCTCTGGGGTCCTCGGTAGCCCCTGCTCCCGTGGAAACAGGGTCATAACCTTGCCTTTTCCCAGAACGCCCTCCTGTCCTCACACATCTGCCCGTGTCCTACTCAGGGCGGCTTTCCTGATGGCTTCAGGCTCTAGGCGGTGTTTGTCTCATGATTGGTTGAGATTCTAACCTTGCTTGGAGCCTGGGGTACCAGCGAGCTAAGCCACAGGGCTGGCAGAGTGCAGTGCCCAGAGACACCTCCATAGGGCCAGAGGGTACTTGCATCTATCTTCTGCCCTGCCCACTTGCTGTCTGACTGGTGTGCCGGGAGGCCCCGTGGGCTTGGAGGGAGCGCGTGGCCGGACACCTGCTCTGACCGTGGCGCCCACTGGCAGACCTGGGAGGTGGAGAGAGCGGTGTCCCACCCCCTCCCCCTCTCGGCCCCTTGCTCTGACTCAGACTTTCTGTAGCTAGAGCCCCTGGTATACTGCCGCCCCCCCACCCCCACCCCAAAGTAGAAACACCTTCTTATTGAACCCCGGTAGGTTTCGGATGGGTTTTTATTATATCATTATTCAAATACATACACATAGAAGGCTTAGGGAGATCAGCTCCATATGTTTAGACCCCTTTAACAACGATAAAACCCAAACAAAACCACAAATTAGACACCAAGTGACGGGACAGTAAAATTCCCATCAACGGCATTAATTTAACGCGCTGGCGGATGGCGTGCTGCCGATCGTAAATGGCTCACGCCACGGGCGCGGCTCTGTCACGGTGCAGGGTCTCCATTGTCCCCCTGTCTGTCCCAGGGCAAGGGGTACACTGGGGCGGCCGCACCCACGAGGTCCCCCCAGGTCACTGTGGAGCCCCTCCTCACCCTCCCTCTGGTGTCTGTGATCTGTGACATTTCAGGTGTGTCCTGTCCAGGTAGTCCCCACGCAGGTCCAAAGACACCGTAATGGGGCTTGCTAGACATCGGCTGGCGGTGCAATGCCCCCTGGCCACCACTGCCCAACAAGAAAGCAGCCCAGACTAATTATTTTCTGTTTTGTTGTTTGTTTCTCCAGTCCTGGGTGCTGTCTGAGCCTCTTGGTGTTCAGGGCTGGCATTGTACCACTTGGGCCACAGCACTGTTTCCAGTGTTTCCTGAGTAGTTTATGAAAGTTAAGAGTGTCCCAGACTTTTCTGCTCGGGCTGGCTTCGATCCACCATCTTTAGATCTCAGCCTCCTGTGTAGCTAGGATGATAGGCGTGAGCCACGGCCGCCCATCTAACAGCCCGGATTTCTGGCGTGGTGTGCGTCTGTCTCTTACTGGCCATCATCATCATGCTGCCATTCTCCCTGGCATGGTCATCAGAGATCTGAGGCCACTCACCCTGCCCCACTGGCTCATCACCCAGTATCTTTCTCCCAGCACCTGGTTGTTAATTGGCTGTGTCTGTGCCTCCACCATCCCCCCCCGCCCCCCCCCCGTTCCCCCTAGGCTGTAAACTCCATAAGAGCAGAGATCCCACCTAGATGGTTTACGCACGCGCGTGTGCGTGCACTCTAGAACTAGAGTTTGAAGTCAGGGCCTGGATGCTGTTTCTTCATTTTTTGTTTTCTTTTTTCACTTGAGGCTGGTGCTTTACCACTTAAACCACAGCTCTACTTCTAGCTTTTGCTGGTTAATTGGAGGCAAGAGTCTCCAGAGACTTCTCTACCCAGGCTGCCTTCAAACCTCAGTCCTCCCATCTCAGCCTCCTGTAGGAGCAGATTTACAGGCATGAACTACTGACACCCCGCTTCAGTATGTCTGTTGAACAGCTTGGTGTTCGTGAGCTTCCTTGAGCCACAGTATCTTTGCACATGCTCTTCTCCGTGTTGCCTGTGCCTGCCACTTCCTGGCCCCATGCAGGCTCCTCAGCTCTTCTAGGCATACCTAGTTCTCTGTCTTATGATCACCAAGACCCTCGACAGACCCACTGTGACTCCCAAACCTGGTTCTGTTCTCTTTTGAGTCTCCAGTGCTGCTTCTCTAGGTCCACGGTTGGTAGTATTCCCCGTGAGTAGGTTGCGTGGCTTCTTTTTTTTGGTCAGTTGTGGGGCTTGAACTCTGGGCTTGGGTGCTGTCCCTGAACTTTTCAGCTCAAGGCTAGCACTTTACCTCTTGAGCCACAGCGCCACTTCTGGTTTTCTGGTGGTTAACTGGAGATCAGTCTCATGGACTTTCCTGCCCAGGCTGGCTTTGAACCACAATCCTTCGATCTCAGCCTCCTGAGTAGCTAGGATGACAGGTGTGAGCCACCAGTGTTCAGCAATTGCTCGGCCTCTTGTGGGTGCCTTCCCCAGCCTGGAAACTGAGCTGGGTCTCTTCTCTGCCAGACAAGGTGTACCTGGGGCCCCCGCGCCTTTTCCAGGAGCTTCAGGACCTGCAGAAGGACCTGGCTGTGGTGGAGCAGATCACGCTGCTCATCAGCACGCTGCACGGCACCTACCAGGTAGGCGGCAGGGGGGCAGGGCTGTGCTGGGGGACCTGGCTCCGAGGCCGCAGACTCTGCACAGCCTGTGGCCCACGTGGCGGGAGAGGCCGGGAAGGAAGCTGGCTCCTTGGAGGAGAGGAGGGCCGCCAGCGGGTCCTTCCAGGGGTCTGCTATGGCTTTTGGTGACCTCCTGGGCCTTTCCAACCCTAGAACCTGAACATGACCGTAGCTCAGGACTGGTGCCTGGCCCTGCAGAGGCTGATGCGGGTGAAGGAAGAGGAGATCCACTCGGCCAACAAGTGCCGCCTTCGGCTGCTGCTTCCCGGAAAGCCTGACAAGTGAGCTGGCGTTGGAGGGGAGGGCACGCGCATGCGTGGAGGTGCCTGGGGAGGGCGCCCCGGAGCGTCCTGCCTGTGACAGGAGAGGGTGCTGGCTCCTGATGGGCCCTGCCTGGGGCAGCACGGGTCCACAGCGGATGGTCATGAACACGTAGTCAAGTGGAGGTGTGACTGGATGAACAGAAGTATGGGTGAATGGATGAATGAATGAATAGATGGACGAATGAATGGATAGATGGATGAATAAATGAATAGATGGATGGAGAGATGAATGAATGGATAGATGGATGAATGATTGTATGAATGAGTGGAAGGAAGGAAAGAAGGCAGGAAGGCAGGAAGGAAGGCAGGAAGGAAGGAAGGAAGGGAAGAAAAGAGGGAAGGAGGGATAGTTGAGTGGCCTGATTTCTTGGGTCCGCCTGGGCCTCGGTTAGGCTCCGTGGACACTGCCATCTGCTGTTCCATTTGTGTAGTGCCCTTTCTGCTCACCTCAGCTTTGGTGCTCCCAGATGCTCCCCAAGGACCAGGCCTCACCCTCAGCACTGCCTTGTTCCCAGAATGCCCACACGTAGCAGGACCCCACTCTGTGCAGAATTGATGCCAGAGCCAGCTGCCCACCTGGGCCATGGGGAAAGGCGTCTGTCTGGTCCTCCTGTGGCTCTGTGGGCAGTCCCACTGCCCGCCCCCCCCTCCTGCCCCAACGGATGAGAGTTAGGCAAATGGCCTGGGGCTCGTAGTGCAAGGATGGGGTTGATTCTGGGGCCCAGCAGTGCAGTGAGAACACGGCGCAGGGGGAGGGGGAGGAAGGGGAGAGGAGAGTGGAGCCTCCAGGTCTGGACCCGGTGTGGGGCTGCGTGCAGCTCTGTGGTCTCAAACTCTAACCAGCTTGGGCCACTTCCCCATGGGGTTGCCTTGCCCCACTCCCAACCCTGCTTTCCACCCCATCCTGCTCAGCATCCTACAGG